CCTCGTCCAGATGGAACCACACATCACAAGATATAAAGTGTGTTGCTGGAAGCCCCAACTCCCCGGTGACTTCACAGATCCCCCAGATCAGCCTGGCCGGCCCCCGGCACCACCCCCGCCGCCGCGCCGCACCCCTGCAGCCCTGCGTGGCATCCACCTGCTCTACCTCAGAGACATTCCCAAGGTCGGACGAGGAGAGCCCGTCCTGCCGCACTGGGAGAGCACAGAGCAGGCCCCACACCGGAGCAGGTGCCATCATCAGCGCCCGGTTCTCTGCAAGGTCTGGGGCAGGCCTTGAGGCTTTGAGACCTAGCAGTGGCCGGCACAGGGCAGGCCCGAGAGAGTAGCTGCCGATGGCTGGGCCTCGGCAGTCAGGCCAGAGGCCTGAGAGGCATCCGTGAGAGAGTTCTACAACAGCCAGAGCAGCAGCACGGAGGGAGGCAGGCTTCATGGAGCAGCAGCAGCACGGAGGGAGGCAGGCTTCACGGAGCAGCAGCAGCACGGAGGGAGGCAGGCTTCACCTTCACCTTCACCCCAGCAGCACCACTGGCAGCCTCAGACAAACCCCGCACCCGCACCGACGCTCCGGGACACACGCACACAAGGACATCTTCCTTGCTTCCCACCTCCCTCTCGCATCTTTGCATTAGTAAAAAGTAAAAGTGACTCAGATGTCTTTGAAAAATGAGGATTGGGCTAAATAAATAAAACCAACGGCAAGTGAGAGCATATTATACAGCCATTAAAAATAGCAGATGTAAAAATAAGTCTAAGCTTCAGCAAATGTTTAATACATAATTCCCTTGGGATTTGAGATTTATAAAACATGTATATATCTGCATCCTAAGAAGACTGGCGAGAAGATTCATCTCAGATATGAATAGTTTTTAGCTGTGTAAAGGTAATAATGAAAAGAAAAAATAGTTTTAATCTCTTGGGGTGGGGTTCACATGGGCATTATTTTTGTGCCTCTTCTAACACTTTTCAAGATTCCTGTGAGGATCAAGAACTGGAATGATAACATTTAAAAGTAAGGGATTTGGAGCCAGACTCCTCCAACACCCACACAAACTTGGGGCCTTGTGCTGGCTTGCTAGGCAGGCGCTCTCCCCCTGGGGCCACATCCCCAGCCCTTCTTTTGTTTTAATGATTCTTTACAAAGTAGAGTCCTGCCTCTTGCTCTGCCTGGCCCTGCGCACGCGCCTCCTGTTTGTGCTTCCTGTGTCCAGGGGGTGACAGGCCCTGCCACCACGCCCGCTGTCCCCTGGTTGAAATGTGATCTCATGGAATGCTTTGCCTAGGCAGGCCTTAAACCCCAATCTTCCCCATCTCAGACTCCTGAGTAGTTGGGATCACAGAGGTAAACCACTGCACCTGGCTCAAGAACTTCTTTTTAAAGGCTCACACTGTACAGTCTTGAGCAGCGACAAAGCATTGCTGCTGAAGTTCATCCGTCGATCCATTCACCTGTCTACCCAGCCATCCATACATTTACTCATCCATCTATCCATCCACCCACCCATCGATCCATTCACCTACCCAACCATCCATCATCTGTCCACTCATCCATCCATCATCCGTCCATGTATTCATCCATTCATCTACCCATCTACTCATCTGCCCATCCATCCCATTCATCTAACCAACCATCTACCATCCATCCATCCATCCATTTGTCCATCCATCTAGCTATTCATCCATCCATCCATCATCCATCTATCCATTCATCCATTTATTCATCCATCCATCTCGCCGCGCATCCATCCATCCTACACAACTGTCCATCATCCATCCATCCATGCATCTATTTTCTTATTCATCTACCCATCTGTCCATCTGCCCATCCACCCATCTATCTATCCATCCATCCATCCATCCACCCATCCATCCATCTGTCCATTCAATACTCATTGCTTGGTTCTAGGCATCCTGTGATTTGACAATTTCCATTCCCAACTGACTCATGTTCTACCAATGGTAGGCAAAGGTGGGGGCCGGTCCATACACAACACCCGCACTTCAGTGGGTGATGTGCCAAAGCTCGCTGGGGCTCCTGGGCACTGAGTAAGCAGGGGAGCTGCTTTGGGAAAAGAGCTGTATCTGAGACTGAATCTGGGCTGGGGGCCAGGACCTGCCACACGCACACACCAGGCAGCCCGCTAACACAAGCACAGGCCTCTCCTAGACAGCTCAGCGTGGTCCAGGTTCTGCTAACTGGCCTCCTGGCCAGAAATACCATGAGGGGCTGCATCAGAGCCTCCGGAGCTGGCTAGGCGGGGCCTTTTCACTGGGAACAACAGCGCCCCCAGGTGGCCAGCAGAGGTTGCCGAGAGGTGAAAGGTGTTTTTCCTTCCGAGTACAAAGCATGGACACACCAGCTGCAGTTCAACAGATTGTGGGAGCGAGGTAGGGAATCCATGTCTAAAACTGCGGAAGAGGAGCGGACCATCATGAAAACACAGTGGGGGAACTTAGATCCTGGGGATGCCCGAGGTCATCACTGTGTCCAGGGGACCGGATCTTCCCTAGGGGAAGCGGGGAGGAAGATACTACTCACACCGAGGCCCCTGTCAGCACAGGGCAATTAAAGATGCTTTCAGCCAAGATCTGCAAGAGACAGTTCCGGAATGCAAATAGCCAGACCTGCCCTCAGAGCGTGTGTATTGTGATTCTGCAGGAGAGCTCTCGAGAGGCTAGGTGAGCATCCAGTAAGTGTGTTTTTAACAACCCCGTGAGTGTGTGCTCCCCCGATGCGGGCACCTGTCAAGGGCAGGCGGCCTCCAAGGAGGCCCGGCCTTCCTGACTCCGCCACGTCCCCACACACAGGGACCGGGGACTAGAACAGACTCCACTCAGAAGCAAAGATGGCGGTCAGTCCTTAAGTGCGGGATACCGTTCAGCCTCAGCAGGACTCACGGGGAGGCGAACTAGAACAGCAAGTTGGCAAGTTTTAGAGAGATGTTAAGTCCAGAGCCCCCGGGCTCAGTGACCCCGCCCCGGCCAGCCCCGGCTGGGAATACAGCGAACCAGAGCACTGCAGGCTCCCAACGGCCGTGGCTGAGAAGGAGCTGCAACCAGCCGGCCCAGCCCCGTAGCCGTGAAAGGCACAGGGCAGGCCCGGTGGCCACGCGGGGAAAGGAGCACCCAGCGAGCACCGAGCTTGACTCCATGGCGGCCGAGCAAGCATGGCGCGAAAGACGGCGTGAACAGAGAGCGCGCTTGGGCTGGAGGTGGGGCACGGGAGAGCGTTCCGGAACACAGGGATGTTTCCGCACGTTTAATAAAGACCAGGCTGCGTGTGCGTGGGAGACGCCAACGAGAAAGGAACATGGGAAATTAAGAGCCGCTGCTTTGCTCTGGGGAAAAACCAAATTGAGACGCTGTGCAGGCCACTGTGCCCCGCCGCACAGAGCAGGGACCGTCCTCCCTCTTGTCCGCCCCTCTGCGGAGTAACTGGGGTGGGGGGGGGATGCGTAGTTTGGCCTATGGGCTTCTCCAGATGCTTCTGGAAAGTTCTACTGGAAGCCTGACAATCAGGAAGACCAGCCCCAGGCAGGGAGCTGTCCCTGCCAAGTCCCCACACTCCCCACAAGGACCCAAGAGGGAACCAAAGCCACAGCACACAGGGTCCCCGGACCCCAGCGCATGCCTCCGGCCGCATGGGGGTGGCAGCCGTGGAGGAGAACGCGATCTGGAACCTTCTGGGGAAGGTGGTGGGGGCATGGGACCGAGTGCTTTGGGTCTTGTCAACCCACACAAGGCAGACGAGCAAGCTCGCCGAGGGAGGGGTCTGTGGGTGGGAGACCTGACTACTTCTGTCCACTCTGCAGCCCGCGGGCCACCTACAGAACACCCAAGGCACACCCTGCTCCCCCACATCCCCCCCCGCCCAGGAGCTGCGGCCCTCAACCCATCCTCACCTCCCCAGAGCACCCACACGCCCACACAGGGGATGAGCACCAGCTGCTTCTGTCCTCCCACCCGATGCCCCATGCCAGTCCCTCTGGGAGCTAGCCTCCAGCCTGAGAGACGGGGTCACTCGGGAAAGCCTGTCTTCCCTGCAGAAGGGGACCCTGGGCCGAGACTTTTCCCGGCAGTGCGATGGAATTGGAGAAAGGCTGATGAGTTCCAGAGGCCGAGACCCTGCCGGGTGCCGGTGAGGACTTACTGGTGACAAGTGGCCTTAGCTCCCTGCATGACCAGCCAGCTGGCTCGGGGGTGCCAGGCCTGAGACAGCAAAGCCGCACCCGCCCCCTGCCCGGCACCACCTCCATCACTACTACCCCCAGACGTGTCACCACCCCCACCCAGCACCGCCTCCATCACCCCCCCAGACATGTCACCACCCCCACAGGAACACACCGGACGGGCAGCACGGCAGAGTCCTCACGGGAGCAAAGCCTCACAACACAGCCCGGAGAGCGTCACTCCTGAGGGGACAGGACAGGGCAGGACGGAGGGGGAGGGGGAGAGCGCCACCCCTGGGGGACAGGCTGGAGGAGAGCCGAGCTGTCACCCTGAATGGACAATACAGAGGTGACATCTGCTGAAGTCTCTCTCCTCTCCTCTAAGGCATCAAAGGGCGGTCTGATGTCCCCGAGCTGAATTCACAGTGCTCTTAGAAAGAGACAGCCCGCCCCGGGCAGGAGGCGTTTATTCTCAGCTCTAAAGCGGGACAGAAAGGAGCCCGCCCCTCCCCGCCAGGCCGCTGGGCTCCGGCCTGTGGGAGCCGCAAGTGCAGCAAAGAGAAATTGCGCACTGACCTCAATTCCCCAAGCAAACAAAAGCAAGTGGGGGGGACCGCAGGGAGAGCGGCCCGGAGCTCCAGGGAGCCAACCGTCCACAGACAAAACCCCATTGGCTTCCCAGGGCGCTGTGTGTGTCAGGCCACCGATGCCCAGGGCAGCCAGAGCTGGGCATTTCGTCGCCTTCCTCAGCCAAGCACCCAGGAGATGCTGTGCAGCTCAAGAGGAGAAAGGCCCATCCCTGGGCTGACTTACCGCCACAGAGAACTTTCCAGAACCTTCCCCATGTCTGCGTGGTAGTACTTCGTCAGGATCAAGATCACCTGTGGTGTGAACAGAAAGGAAAAGGACATCAGTGGGTTTCAAGGTTCTTAGGCACGCTCCCCCTCCCCCACCCCACACTGCGGGGAGCTCTTGGGGAGGGGGTTCCCAAGGGTAAGTGACCCAGGGCCTTTGTGCCATAGACTTTAGGCGCGGGGCTCGTTTCTGCTCTGAATACTTGCCCCTGACAAGGGAAAGAAAGGCAAAGGGGAGAGTGCAGGCAAATAAAGAGAGACAGGGACCCCCAATATGGAGCTGACACCCCCTCCTCTTCCTGAGGACGTGGGGGAAACATAAGCGTTGATGAGCCGGGCGCAGATGAGGACAGGAGGCAGGCACCCCATCCGCTCCAGCCAAGCCCAACAGTGACCCAACCAAACACCCGAACAGCAGACAGGCAGCCTGAGGACGATCGCAGACCGACCCTCCCCGAGCCGGCCGGGCCTCACACCTGTCAGCCCAGCTACCATTCAAAGCCAGCCCAGAAGGAAAGTGTGTGAGACTCTTATCACCAACCAACCACCACACACACACACACACACACACACACACACAGAGAGAGAGAGAGAGAGAGAAAAAGAGAACTAGAGCTCTGTGGTTGGAGTGGTAGAATACCAGCCTTGAGCTAAAGAAGCTCAGGGATAGGGACCAGGCCCCAAAGAAGGATTCCATGAGCCTACAGCAGAGCTACGGATTTCCAGGCTCCATTTCTCTCTCTCTCTCTCTCTCTCTTTTACAGAGAAACTTGTCCTCCTCTTTCTCCTCCTCATGGTCTTCCTCTTCCTCCTCCTCCTGCTCCTCCTCTTCCTTTTGTTCCTCCTCCTTTTCCTCTCCTCTCCTTCCTCTCCTTCTCCTTCCTCTTCTCCTTCCTCCTTTTTTTCTCCCCTCCTCTGGAAAAGACCTTACACAGCCTAGGATGGCTCTCGGGTTGGAAGTCCCGGCTGGGGATTTGTACCAACCCCCGGGTAGCTGAGAGGCTTGCCTCTGTTTCCCTGGTGTACTTCCCCTTCCCCTGCCCCACAGTGATTTGGTAGGGAGAAAGAACTCAAGAGCCCCAGACGGAACCCTCCTCGCTCCACAGGCCTGAGACAGGAGGGGAATCGTTCAACACCTGCCCTAGACAATCAAACTGCGGCCAAAGGGGAAGAGAGGCTGAGGCTCGGGTGCCAGGGCCGCGCACCAGGCGTGCCCCGAGGTGGGCCCCCTGCACACAGCTGCTCTGCGGCCAGGCCGTCCTGACTGCCTGGGCGCAGGGCGGCGGACGGGGAGTGGGCAGCTGAGGGAGCAGAGGGAGAGGCAGGCGGCAGACACAGCCCGAGGCGGCCCACAAATCACCGACCGCGCACAAGCTTTTATTCTGTGGTTAAACCATTCACCACACACCGGCCCCCTGAAGAACAAAGCGGGGCAGAAAAGGCAGCAGTTTAGGAAATGAAAATAGATGTGTTTAAGAACACTCCAAGGTTTTTCAAAACCAGTGCGTGAATACACACACACACACACACACACACACACACACAACCAACATGGAAGTGAGGATGCGACGCCCCGTGGGAAGAAGAGATTGACCCCCAATTACTCCACTAGCCGCTGCATTCTCCTGTACATCAAATTTCATTTTGCCCACCACCAGTCCCCATTAGCAGCGCCTCCTGGGCCGGTTGCCATGGAAACCCGGGGGGTACAGGGGCGCCCTGGGGGCCCGCGGTGTGGCCCGTAGCCTGGTTAATTTGGGTCACCACACCAGCCATCTCCATCACTCTGCCTCGTCCCCCTCTGAGAGCTGGGTTCCTGGGCGCCTGGCCCCGGGGCGTCAGGCCGGCTGATCAAGTGCATCTTCCCCTGGTGATTAGAAGAAGGGAGAGAGGAGGGGAGGGTGTCAGCAGAGACGGGACAGCGTGAAAGGCGGAGATGATTAAAGGAAAAAAAGTGAGGCCTTGTCATTCGAGGGGAGATCTGCTCTGCCTCGCTCGCTCGGGGAACAAAGCGATTTTTTTTCTCACCAGCTCAAGGCCTGCCAAAGTCAGAGCTGATTCTCCAAAGACAGAAAGGCAGGCAGAGTGACGGGGCCCGGATGAGCAGGAGACAAGCGTGTTCTTAACCTATTGATTTATATTTTATGTCGGGGAGATCTGAGGAGCCGGAGCACGGCCGCTGGCAAGAGTCTCAAAGTCGGTTTTCCTTGTCCTGTCCTAGGTGAAATCAGAACCCACGGAGCCCCAGTGATCTGGACTCAGGCCTGGCCTCCAGCCTCCTCAGATCTCAGCCTCTAAGCAGGGTTAGAAGCTGGTATCCTGGGCTGCCTCTCTACAAGTCCTGCTGATGTGGACCGGGTTGCTTGGTGTGGGTGACCGGTCAGCAAGGCTCCATCCCCCGCTTCCCTCCGGGGGCCCCAGCCAGCCGCCCCTCACGCTGCACGGGGGCCTCACCGACGCCACCCGTCTCCAGCTTCCCTCTCCTGCCCACATCCAGCACGCATCCTCACCCACCTCCGGGGCACCCACCTCACCCACCACCCTTCGGCATCCACCTGCCCCCGCAGCTCACAGCACCCGTCCCTCGGGGCGTAGGGACCCAGGGCTGGGCACAGCACAGTGTGTGTCTGTAACAAGCACCTGAGCTGCTGGGACAAAGGAAGAAATGCAGGCGGCATTCGCCAAGTAAGGCAGATCAGCAGGCGGGGGCCGCTCGGGGCCTCCCTCTGCGCAGGCGTTCACGCCATCCCGTCTGTGGGGGGGCCTGATGGAGGTCCCGAGCAGGCAGACTGGGGCCGGTCTTGCTGGGGGCTGCAGTAAGGAACTCACTAGAAAGGGCTGGAGAAGCCGAACGGCTGGGCAGCCCTGCCCGCACCCCCACGAGGTGGGTGGCGCGAGGCTGCCCGAGGCCCCTGTTTGGGTCGGGTCGTCCAGGTTTGGCGTCTGGCCGCACGGGTACAAACCCTCCCGCTCCGGTCCGCTCTGTGAGCGGAGGCGGCTGACAGGACCGACGGCCACAGCCAAGGAGGCCTCGGGGCCTCGGCTCACAGCCCGGGAGCAGCGTGGACAGGGATGGGCGGGCGCCGTGTTGCGGGCTCACCCGCCCGGCCTCCGCACCCCGGCGCTGCTGGGGCCCCGTCCTCATCCTCTCCATCTCACAAGTGAAGACGCAAAAGCAGAGAGGGTGCGAGCATTTCACCAAACACTCCCGCCCCGGGACGGCTGGGCGCAGCACGGATGCGCGGTTCTCGCTGGGCGGCTGGCGGACAGGAATCCCCGGGGCTCAGCGTCTCCAGGGGCACAGAACCACCCCAGGCCTCAGGAGACCGGAAAGAGAAATCACCCTCGTCATCACAACCCATGGGGAGCGTGAGGTCTTCTTCCAGAAGCATCCAGAGCTGCCCAGGCTCTCAGGAGACCCCCCCGTGGGGCTCAGAGGGAAATGAGACGCAGCCTAGTTTAATTAAATATTAATAAGGCACATGGCTCCCCAGAGCCGGCCTCTCTGCTCCCCATACATCACTGAGGCTCATGGGATGATCTTCCTCCGGGGGAGGGTCCGGGCTGGGCTGCAGGAGTCAGCAATGGGGCACATCCATCTGTCCGTCCATAAGGCCGGAGGTGCTAGCTGAGCGGTGCCGGGCCAGGGCAGTATCCTTCCCTGAGCAGACACGCCCCCGGGGCGGGCCTCCCTCCGAGACGCCGCGTCCCAATCCATCAGGGGACAGAACAGAACTCAAGATGCAGGGTCTTGGCTGCTCTGTGGACCGCCTCTTCCTCTCTACCCCTCTGTGGATGGAGACCTGGGAAGAGGATGGGTGGGTGGGAGCCACGAGGCTCCCAATGGGGGCTTCCCACATGACAGAAGGACCAAAACAGCTCCCCACTCAGAGGGGACACCCAGCGTCCATGGAATCTCCAGCCCGTGCCCCTCCATGGGGCTGTGGGCGACAGCCGGAGCTGGAAGAGGCTCCCCACGCCCAGGGTCACGAGAGGCAGGGTTACAGGACCGGCGTTCCAGAGGGGCGGGGGGGGGGGGGGGGGGGGCTGGCGCTGAGACACGCAGCGGGCCGGACCTCCCTGTGAAATGGCTGGATGGTGGATTTTAAAAACAAGACAGGTTGAGGATCACCCTGGAGGCGTGAGAGAGCTGGACGGCATCTGGGAAAACTGTGATGTGACTTGGAGGAAAAGCGAGAGTGAGCGGGAGACCAGAAAACTCTACGCCCCGTCCCACGCCAGCCTGGGCTCGCCAGCTCGTCCAAGGAAAACGCTTTCTCAACAAATATGCACATGTGCCTGCCTGAGCCTCCAACACCTGCTGCTCGCCTCTGCCTTCGTACTAAACCAGTGTGTGTGTGTGTGTGTGTGGTGTGTGTGTGTGTGTGTGTGTTTCTGTCTGTCTATCTGTCTGTGTCTGTGTTTTTGGGGTATCACTTTGTTTTGTGGGGGAAGGTTGCAGTGTTGGGGATGCAACCCAGGGCCTGGCCCATCCTCGCCGATCTCACTTCCATGGAGCTATCCCCAAATCTGTTTTTATTTTATGTTGATAAATGATTTTCTAAGCTGCCCAGCTGGCCTTAAATGTGTATCCTCCTCTCTGGGCCTCCTGAGCGGCTGGGATCACAGGCATGCACCGGCCATGTCCCCGGTCTCACACTGCTCAGAGATGAGGGGCCAGCCAGCCTCAGGCGCACGCACACGGCCCTGGAGCATTGATGAATGCCTTGGGGTCACTAGGGAGAAAATCGCCCTTCAGCCCAATTAATATAAAAGAGTTAGACCAGATGGCACAAAATTGATCTCCCCTCAGGAACTAAATTCATGTTCTGAGCACTGGTCTCTGCAGTGACTAATAAGCAGGCTCCAAACCAGCTTCCACCGTGGTGGACATCTGTCCCACCGCCCCGGGGCTGGGCCGCAGCTACGCACAGGTTCCACACTGGAGCCTTTCGCGTGGCATTGGTGGGTCCTGCCCTGGGAGATCAGCTGTGTCCAAGGCCACGCTGGGGGGCTCCCAGGAGCTGATTTCACTGCACCCCACCCTAGGTGAGTCCCCTTTGTGGAACTGAAGAGCTGGTGAGATCCTCCAGTTCCGCACCGGGACAGGTGACAGCTTCCATATCCAACACAGCAAGGCCATGCTTCCTTGCTCTTCTGAGAGCCTCCATCCGACCAAAAGCTACCCCAGCATGGCCAGCCTGGGAAGCCTCGGAGCCACCATAAGCCCAGAAGAGCAGGCCAGGTACAAAAGGCCACTTCCACCCCGAGTCCTCACCAAGCTCAGTGGGACCCCCAGTCCTGTCCTGGCTTTGTAGCAGGCAATCCACAAAGGTTGTGGAGTGAATGGAAGGATAAATGGATAGACAGATGGGCGGGGAGATGAGTGTGGGAGGGATGGATGGATGATAGGTAGATGAAGGAAGGATGGATGATGAATGGATATGAACTCTGGATGGATGGATGAGTGGATGGTGGGTGATGGATGAGAGGTGGATGGATGATAGATGGATGGGTGATAAATGGATGATAAATGGATATTTATGATGATAGATGGCTGATGGATGGATGGATAGATTAATGGATGGAGGGATGGATGGGTGATGGATGGATGGATGGGTGATGAATAGATGATAGATGAATGGATTATGGATGGATGGATAGATAGATGATGGATGGATGGATGGTAGGTGGATGGAGGGAGGGATGAATGGATAATGGATAGATAGATGATAGATGGATGGACAGATGATGGATAGCTGAACTGAGGGAGGGAGGGATGGTGGTGGATGGATGATAAGTGGATGATGGATGGATGAATGGATGGATGGATGATCAATGGGTGGATAGATGATGAGGGGAGGGAGGGTGATGGATGGATGGATGGATGATAAATGGAGATGGATGGATGGGTGGGGGTGGATAGATGATGGATGGATAGATGGATGGATAGATGACTAGATGATGGATGGATGGATGATTGATGGAAGAACAGATGATGGATGGGTGGATAGATGGATGGATGGATGGACGGATACACACAAGCATAGACGAGGCATGAGGGACAGATGGAGGGACAGACAGACAGATGGACAGCTTGCCTTGAACATGCCCGGCCTCTCACACCTGTGCCTCCTGCTCTCTCCAGCAGACCTTCCGCTCGTTCTCTGTCCCCTCCCTTCACCACACACGCCCACCCTGAGGACTGCACAGGCACCCGTCAGGAAAGGCCTGTGGGCCCCTCCCCACCTCCAGCGGACGTGCATTCTCTGGGGCCACAGACTCGGGCTGCGTAGACTCTGTTGTGTCTCCACAAGCTGCACCCACACGGAACCTGACGGGCTTTGGAAAGAAGAGTCCCTGGGGCTTCAAGGTGAGAGTGTCCTGAGCCAGGCCAGTCCACGCCCATGGAGCAGAGCACATGGGGCCGACGCGGGCCGAGACCAAGGGACACCTCCAAGCCAAGGGAGGCCAGTGGAGGCCGGACATCCCCAGCGGCCAGGAGCAAGGCCAGGGGCAAGCCATCCACCGATGCTTGTCCAGACCCAGTCCCAGAGCTGTAAGAGCAGGCCTGCTGTTCAAGCCTAGTCTGTGACATGCTGTCCCGTGGCTGGAGCTCTGGAGACCCCAGACTCCCATACAGGTCCCCTTCCACGACCCCAGAGAGCGCCCGCCCCCACCAGAGGCCCCGCCCACTCCCTCCCCGGGCTCCGCCCCCAGAAAGGCTGGGCACCCCAGAGCACATGGGGGTGGGACAGGACCCCTCCCCCACCCAGCGGACACCTGTCAAAGGTGACAAGTTGGGCTCTAAAGAAAGGGAGAGGGAGAAGACGCCGCGGAAAAGGCCCCATAAATCAAAATCAGTCAGCAGAAAATAAATGGAGGAGCGTTGCCATCTGTGGAGCGTTGTGTGTCTACCTCCGGTCTGTTCAAGGCGGAATGCGTGTGCTCGAGGGGGGCCCAACGGCCCTCACCCCGCCCACCTTTAGGACGGTCATTTCCTCGCCATTTCTCACTCCGATTGAACTGTAATTCCCCATCTCTCCTTTCTAATGTCACTGTAGGGAATATTCCTAATGAAATCACAGGGCCACCGCTCCCCACGCTCCGGCAACGAGCGGTAACTGGGATGGGAAGAGACGTCCAGGCACACCCGCCCACCCTGCTCTCAGACCAGAACTCCCCGCTACCGATCCGCTGAGGTATTTAAGGCATTTGTTATAGCAGCTTCTGTTACTTAAATGGCAAAGTTTCCATCATTACCAGAAATAGAAAAATAAGCATGCATGATAATGCCCAGAAAAATAGCTGCAATAAACAAACAATAGAGCCACGCACCAGTGGCTCACGCCTGTCATCCTAGCTACTCAGGAGGCTGAGATGTGAGGATCACAATTCAAAGCCCTCCTGGTAGAAAAGTCCCCATGAGACTCTTATCTCCAATTAACCACCAGAAAGCTGGAAGCGGCGCTGTGGCTCAAGTGGTAGAGCACTCGCCTTGAGCAAAAGAAGCTCAAGGACAGTGCCCAGGCCCTGAGTTCAAGCCCCATGACTGACAAAACAAAACCAACCCACCCACCAAACAACAACAGCAACAACAAACAACAGCATGCTTGAGACAGACGCGGGCTGAGGCCGAGGAGCCGGGAGGGCTGAGCGCGGCTGGCGCATTGATGAACTCCCCCAGCCTCCAGGATCATCATCCAATGACCTCCCGGGCCATTTCCAGCCCCAGGAGTCCCCAGCCATTCTGCATACTAACACACACACACACACACACACACACACACACTGGCCCAGGCACCACAGAGCGGGGAGCCCTGACACCCATGGAATCTCCAGCCATTCTGCATACTAACACACACACACACACACACACACACACACACACACACACACACTGGCCCAGGCACCACAGAGCAGAAGCCCTGACACCCGTGGTTTCTGCCTGAAGCCAGGGCTGGCACCGTGAGGGCCCTGTGTAAACCAAACGCCCTGTGGGCCGGGGCGGGACCCGCAGGACCCGCACAGCCGCGGTGGCTCTGAGACAGAGCTGCGGGCCACGCAGAGGCCCTGCCGGACCCCGGGCCCAGGCTGGTCTTGGAGACCACGGCGCCGGCCCTGGGCCGAGGCCTGAGCGTTCCGACACTCGAGTAGCCATACCAAGGCCCCTGGTACGTCCGTGCGTCACGGGGAGGGAGATGGTCCCGCGATGCAGTGGATACGCGCAGCACTCGTGGCAGAGGCCGATCCTGGGGACAGGGCTTTGGGAAGGGAGAACGAGGGGGGCTATGAAGGGGGAAGCCAGCAACGAGGAGAAACACCAGCACGTTCACACCCTGGACGTGCGGCACGGGCACCTGAAGCAGAGCACGTTTTGAAACGGTGCTCAGTGACTTCCGCGCCGCCTCCCGTGCGTCCTGTGCCTCAGCGCGCCGCGGCCTGAAGGGACGCGTGCCAATGCCGCACACCTTTAAGGAAAGCCTCGGGGTCTGGAAGGTTCTACCTCCTCCTGCTCCAGGACGCTGCCCCTCCTAACCTGTCTGTGCAGAGCCAGCTGCCCCCTTCTCCCACCCGTCCACTCCAGCCCTGCCGGGCCGGACACACGCATCTGCACCCCTGCCGGCCCACCCCACCCCAACACCCCCTGGCCTCTTTCAGGCAAGTACCTGAGAAGGAAACGCGAACAGGCCTGTGAGGGGTTCTGGAAGAATCCTTCTGCCTGTTTGGTTGTGTTTCACAGCGCTCAGGCTAGAACTCAGCGCCCTGGGCATGCGAGGCGGCGAGTGCTCTATCGCGGAGCCGCACCCCCAGCGGAGGTGTGGAGCCCCCCCCCCCCCGCGGTCAGCACCGCCCCATCCCCCACACGGGAACACGGGAGGGGGCTCTCGGGACAGCCTCACGCTTCTGTTTTCCCTGGTCTGAGCCACGCACGGCCACACCGGGAAAACAACAGGAATGAAAGGGATCCACCAAGAAGCTCCGTGCTGCTCGTCCCAGCCAGGGTCAGTTAAGATCAAGACTGCCCGACGGACGGACGGACAGGCAGGAAGTGGGAGTGTGGGTTTTTGGCTAACAGAATAAGCCGAAGATGGGTTTGGAAGACCTGGGGTACCTTTGGGTTTTCGGGTACTGGGCCGTGTGGACTGGCAGAGATGGAGGACAGGACATGCAGGGGGTGAGCAGGGCCGTGCAGGGGTGGGGTAGGGGGGCAGCACCCAGACAGCAGCATGCCCAGGCTGAGGGCCGTCCTGTGCCGCCCGGAGCCCACGGCTCAGGCAGGCGGCCTGCTGGACGCACCCCTGTCCTCAGTGCGGGTGCCCCCCATCCCCCACCCCCCCGCTGCCAAGGCTGGACCGGCCCTCGCTTGGAGCTGAGGAGCCCCACGGAGGCCCACACGCCACAAGCAGACACGTGGGGGTAATGGGACTCGGGAAGGACGGGAAAAGACAGAAGGGTTAAGTTTCTAGACCAGCAAAGAAAACCAAACAAAAAGACACACGATCTTCACGTCTGGAATCTGATTTGTGAGGCTCTCCCCAGGCCCACGCAACACCTTCCTGGAAATAGCTCTGCCAGGTCCAGCATCTGCCTTCAGAACAGCCCAGCCGCCCGTGGGGGGGACGGACGTCAAATCAGACCTCCAGAAAACCTCCTCAGCTACACCACCAGGTTCATTGCCAGCTGGGGCACAGCGGTGGGAAGGATGGGGAAGGAAGGGGGAAGAAGAGGAAGAGGGGGAAGGAGGGGGAAGAAGAGGGAGGAAGGGGGAAGGAGGGGGAAGGAGGAGGAAGGAGGGGGAAGTAGGGGGAGGGAGGGGGAAAGAGGGAGAAGGAGGGCAGCCTCCACCCACATGGCTAAAAATGGAGCTGCTGTCTCCATCAACATGACAAAGACAAAAACCCTGACTGAGAGCCAGTCCACACTGAACAGTGATTGAAAGTTAATGACAGAGGAGCGGAGGAGCACACTTGGCAGAACTCTGGCAGCACATGGAGGCCTTGGCTCTCGGAAGGAGCCTGGCGACGGATGCCCGCCGGAGCCCGCTGGGCATAGGAGCAGGCAGCTTCGTGATGCCCCTGCCCCCTCCGCCGGACCCGGCACAGCCTCTGATCTGTCACCACCGTCTCGTGCCAGCTCAGGGATTGGGCGGACACATGCGCTTGACGGGTCGGAGCGGAACTGTGCGCTCATCTGCACTATTTATTCACACTAACCAGCCTGGCGTGCCCCAGCCTGGCAGCGGGTCCACACGCCATCCAACCCAGTCACGAACACGCATGGCCGAGAGAAAAGACAGCGTCCCAGGAAAGGCTCCTGGCCTGGGACAGGGAAATAACAGCTGACATTGCACGCACAGCACACTCTCCTCCTCCACGGGACGCTGAGCGCGTCTGTCTGTCTGGCGTCCGCTTCCTCCTTGTGGAGGGCACGGGCCAGCCCCGTGGCCCAGGCATGTAGCAGAGCCAGGACCCAGCCACCGGGCAGGACTGGCCCGGGCGGAGGCTGCCACAGTGGGCCTCAGGCCCCCTTCCCGGTGACTTTTGAAAACCACACGCCTCCGTGCCAGCCTCTAGGGTCACATGGGTGTGCACAGACGCCGGGGGGGAGGGAGCGGTGTCGGGTGGCCGCTGGGCATCGGCCTCCTCGCGGGGCGGCCTTCCCGCCCGGGTCTTCCGGTCAGCTTTCTGTTTACAACCTGAGAAGCCGAGATGATGACAGAGATGGTGACCGCTGTGGACAACATGGGGTGGGGATGGGGGGTCCCCAACACACAACCGCTGCCAGGCCCTGCAATTCCTGTCCAGGAGCACGTCTAGAACTTTCCGAACCAGACATGTTCACCTAATCTCTCCTTCACTGCACGGTCTCCAGGTACACCGATGCTCAGAGAGGCAGGCCGCGCGCACAGACACCAGAGGCGCGCAGCGACGGTGTAGCGAGCCCCACGGCCCCAGCAGCCCTTGCCCACGCCGAGGCCCCTCCTGGGTCTCTGTGTGTGCGACGTCTGTGGCCGGCAGGGCCTCGGTCTCTGCCGGTTACTGTGATGCGTGCTGGAGAAGCTGGCCGGGGTAGAGAGCAGATCTGAGGCTGCTGGGTAGGTGGAGGGTGGAGGGAGGTGTGGGGAGGGCCTGGGGTGGGCAAGGGCAGCCTCTACCTCCCCGGGGCAGCCTCCCACACACACTCACCAACCAATGTACTTCAAAAGGCATCCGTCCCCGGCACCAGTGGCGCACGCCTGCCATCCTAGCCACTCGGGAGGCTGAGAGCTGAGGATCACGGTTCACAGCCAGCCCTGGCAGGAAAGTCCGTGAGACTCCAATTATTCCACTCACACGGCCCCCGCTGCGCCCCTCCTGTCTCCATGCCACAGACAGGCCAGGCCTCCAGCCTGCAGCCCAGCGGGCTGTCCTGGGGCCACAGCCAGCCACACCGCACCCAGACCTCCACGCAGATCACATCCACGGTGAGCCAGCTGCCCGGCTGGGCAGCGGCCTGCGGCGGCCCACGAGCAGCACCGAGGCGTGGCTGGGCCGCGAGCCAGCTCCAGAGCAGGGCATCACACCCCTGCAGCCGGGGACCCGGCCAGCAGCAGCTGCGACCCTGGGACTCGGGGCGCAGGGCAAGCCTGCAGGCAGCACCCCAGCTCCAGCACCAAGGCCCAGCTCAAGGCAGGAAGGACGGCAGAGCCAAGGCCCCTTCAGGCCACGCCCCCCATGTTGCCGGGACAACGCCAGGACAGCCACAGGGAGTCGGCCCTGGAATCCCGTCCCACCGCACAGAGAGAGGCCGGCCACCACCCAGCCACACGCGGCGGACAAGTCAGCCCTGAGACAGAAGGCCACTCACGCTGCTCCCGGCAGGCACACAAGAGACAACAAGGGTGCGACCAGCACCGGGCACAGCCCGCCCCTCCACGCCCACGCCCGAGACGCGCCCCGGCGAGCGCGCAGTCTGGGAAGGGTTCAGCTCACACCGCCTAGGAGGCAGCGGGGGCCTCCACTAGCGGACAAGACCCAGGCCGGGCCCAGATTCCAGGACCACGTCTGCGGGCTGACGCTGGGGGTGGCGAGGCTGGTGGTGAGGGTGGTGATGGTGGTGGTGATGGTGGTGGCGATGGTGATGGTGGTGATGATGGTGGTGGTAGTAGTGATGATGGTGGTGATAGTTATGTGGTGATGGCAATGGTGATGGTGGTGGTGGTGAAGGTGATGGTGGTGATGATGGTGATGGTAGTTATGTGGTGTTGGTGGTGGTAATGGTGATGTGGTGATGATGGTGATGGTGATGGTAGTTATGTGGTGGTGGTGATGGTGATGGTGATGATGATGATGGTGATGATGGTGGTGATGGTGGTGATGATGGTGAAGGTGATGGTGGTGGTGGTGGTGGTGATGATGGTGGTGGTGGTGGTGATGATGGTGGTGGTGGTGGTGGTGATGATGATGGTGGTGGTGGTGGTAGTTATGTGGTGATGGTGGTGGTGGTGATGATGACAGTGGTGGTAGTTATGTGGTGATAGTGAAGGTGGTGGTGGTGGTGGTGGTGGTTATAGTTATGTGGTGATGGTAATGGTGATGGTGATGGTGATGGTGGTGATGGTGGTAGTGGTGGTAGTTATGTGGTGATGGTGGTGGTGGTAATGATGGTGGTGGTGGTGATGATGGTGGTGGTGATGGTGAAGGTGATGGTGGTGGTGGTGGTGATGATGGTAATGGTGGTGGTGGCGGTGATGGTGAAGGTGGTGGTGATGGTGGTGGTGGTGGTAGCTATGTGGTGATGGTGATGGTGGTGGTGGTCATCATGGTGTCACCCAGGTGAGACATGGCCACTTAGGTCCTAAAGACACATTAGCCCCCAAAACAGGCGCAGGACTTCCAAGCCGGGCCTGGCTCTGGCTCTGTGCGGGCTCTGTGGAGGTGACCACGGCACAGCCAGCGCTCCGGGCAGCGCCTGCCACCTGGGTGCCCCGCTGCGGCTCTCCGCCCCCTCTCCCATTGTGTGGAGCCTTCCTGCAGCCGGGGCGCCCCACACCCGCTCCCCACGGGAGTCCATTTCCTCTTGTGTTGGACTCAGACAAGCAGCTTCTATTTTTTCCCCATGACAACATAATGTGATTCATAATCACCGGCTCCTGAGATGATAGTGACGGGGCGGGGGGGGGGGACGCTGCCACTGCGAGTCCAGCCTGAGCCACGGCAGAACGGGAGGCGGGCGACCTCCCCTCCCCGGGCGGCAGCGGGCTCCGGAACGGGGCTGCTAATTTGGGTGACAGCCGTGGGCGTCATCCTCACGCTGAGAGCACGCCAGCCAAGCCCATCTCACGGCCCTGCCCGCTCCCGCTGACGAGCTGCGGCGTTCACAGAGGCCGGGGGAGGGGACGGGCTCGATCCCCGAGTCATTACCCCGGCAATATTTCCACAAGGAAACTCATCATCGATCGGGGCTGTTAGAATCTGCTTGGCGCTCGCCCGGTACAATTAAGCATAATGAAGTTACCTCCCAATTATGTATTTTGTTCCGTAGATAATGAAGTGTCTGCTAGGAGGGGTCCTGCCAGGAGCTGGATCGGACGCTGGCGGGAGAGGGGGATGGCGCGGCTGCCCCCCCCCCCAGCTCTCCCAGGAGCGCAGAGCTGCAGAAAACAACCTGCGCGTCCAACCCAGAGACCACGGCGAGGGGCCGGGGAGGAGAGGGCCGGGGCAGGACCCCAGAGAACGACGCAGCCAAGCCGGGCTGCAAAGTCAAGCGGTACAAAGTCAGCCGAGGCAGGAAAACCGTAAGACTCTTATCTCCAACTAACCACCCAGAAGCTGGAAATGGCGCTCTGGCTCAAGGGGTAGAGCACCAGCGTTGAGTGTCCGAGGATCCTCCGGAGAGGAAGAAGCTGCCAGAGGCCCGAGGATCAAACGTCCCATCCAAAGAAAAAGAGAGCAAAGGCCGGTGACTTCGGACAGAACACAGCCACCGGTGCCCGCCAGTGAAATCACATCAGAGCGGAACTCTGCGCTCTTGAAGAGGGGCCGTGACCAGGGCTCTCCACAGACTCACCAAGGGCAAGTCTGCCATCTCCAGCCTGGCCCCTCCCTGGGCACTGCAGGCCCTGCCCCCGCCCCGGGCTGTGCGATCTCTCCCACGCCAGCTCCCGTGGCGCCAGCCGTGGGTACATTTACTACTCAGTGGACGGCGGGAATGTGGGCTCTCGTCCCAGCCTCTCAGGTGCGGGCTAAACTAATAAAACACAGCGAGGAGCCGCTGGGGCGGCGGGGGCTGTGACAAGCACACACAGCCTTCGCCCGGCGGCTCGCTGGGTGCCACACCAGGGCAGACCGCCCTCTGCCCCCTCACCCGCGCTCCCGCCCCACGGACACTGCCAGCCCCCAGGACGCCATCTTCACACTGGGGCCGCAGGTGCTCGGCAGGGGCCGCCTTCAGTGCCATCTGTGTTCTCCAGGGTGAAGAGCTTTTTATCTCCAGCCCTGTGGACCTCCCTTTCATGAATGCGCGGCGCTGGGTCGGGACGCCTCCAGCGGGAGAATGTGCTCATTCCCGGGACAGCAGAGGGCAAGGCCAGAGTGCGTGGGGGGAGGGGGGCTCTCCAGTGTGGCCTTTGTTCTAAGGCATGCGCACGGACGAGGGGTGGAGGGGTGTTTGCAGATCCTGTCACTGCCCCTGCTTCTGTAAAGCCAATTAAACCAGCCATGGCCGCCCCCACCCCACCCCTCCTACAAATAACCAGCACTGAGGGGTCCAGCAACCGTCAGCACAGCTCCTCCATGACGGACGCTGACCTGTGACCTGTGCCTCTGCAGGGGATGGGGGGGTAGCAGGGACACCTGCACTGAGCTGGCACGCCCCACCCGGCCTCCTCCCCAGCCAGCCCTGGGCCTGGAGACACTATTACTATTATTGTCAATAACCACAACGGCTGGCTGAACACGGGCAGCGTACTGTGGCAGATCGACTCGGCAGGCCTCACCACGGTGCCGAGGGCATGGCGTGCGGACTCGACCGATGCAAGCCTCCAGGGAGGCTCGGCGTCTTGCGCGAAGTGGCCACTCGCTCACAGCCAGGATTTGAACTCAGATCTGCTGGATCCACCACAGTGCCTGAGACAGAGGCCCGTGGGAAAGTGGAGAGGACTCAGGTGGGATCGCGTCCCGTGGGGCTGGACTGTCTAGCATTTCGGGAAAACCCTACAGCGCCGACTCTGAGGCACTTTTCCTAAGCTAGTAACGTTACAAGCCGAGCTTTCTCCCCCAAACCTCAAAACTCCAGACATAAAAGTCTCACACCCAGACTCTCAGAACATGCCTGCCTGCGGAATGGGGGGGGATCTTTACAGAGGTCGCCCAGGTCAATTGAGGTCCCAGGGTGGTCCTCACCCAGTCTGTCTGAGGTCCTTGAAAGCAACGTGGGAGACAGCCCAGACCCTGAAACTCCATTGAAGATGCCTGAGGCCCTCAACAAGACAGACACACATCACGGGGTCCTGGGGAGGTGTCCCTCTCCTGCACTGACCTCCCAAGGGAAATACAGTCACGATGGACACACCAAGCGTTACACTGATGATGGGGAGGAGCCAAAATCCCTGTGGGTGCCACAGCCCCCAGGCCGCCTCCTGAGCCAATGACCCTGAAGTCCTGGGCAAATGTCAACACTGCCACCTGCTGATCTGAGCCTCCCCCCTCCCCCCCTCGCCCCCTCTCCCCTGCTTCCCAGCGGAGGAGCTGGGACCAGGACGGGAGAGGCCGCCACTGTGTGCACCTTCCTCGTCTGCCAAAGGTTCCCCAGTGAGCACCTGATCTTCCTTCCTTCCTTTCTTTCTTTTGTTGGTCGTGGGGCTTTCCTGCCTGGGCTGGCTTTGAACCGTGATCCCCAGATCTCAGCCTCCTGAGTAGCTAGGATGACAGGCGGGAGCCAACGGCATCCAACTGAGCACTTAATGTTTCTACTTCCAGAAAATACACATCAAGCCCACGCCTGGCAGACAGCAGACACCTGGTCAATGCACGTCAGGTGTCAATGGCTGATGTGGTCTGAATTTGAAACATTGCTCAAAAGCCCATGGGTTAAGAGCGTGGTCCTGGGGTTGGTGCTGTGGGGCTTTAAGAGGTGGGGCTTAGGGAGAGGACTTTAGGTCATTGCAGAAGGAGCTGTTGAAGGAGCCTGGTCTCTTCTTCTTCCTCTCCCACCATGATGCTCTGCTTTACCATATACCCAAAGCAACAAGACCAACGGACCAGAGACTCAGGCCTCCAAAACTGTGAGGCAAAATCAACATCTCCCTTTATAGAAAAGCCGATACTCCTCTGGTGCTTCACTGACAGAAATCTGACTAACGAAGAAGACGCTACAATTAAGATTTTGTCTGGACATTTACTAAGCAGAAGCCAGGAGAGGTGAGGGAGAAACAGCTACCCACAGTGGCACCCTTGACGCCCAGCTCTCAGGCCTTGTTAATGAGATGGAGACTGAATAGGTAAAGACCTCAAAGATCTAAACAATGGTACCCGAAACCTAGTACCAGCTTACAACCTAGGGCAAAGCCAGCCACCTTTATCGACTGCCAGGGATAGGTACCCTGCTCAGGACACACCCACTGGGCTTGAGTGCAGGAGTCAGCACTGAAAAGCAAGAAGACACTTGGACATGTCCTTGCTCTCCGCATCTCAACCAGCAGTCCCGGAAGCTGAGGGCTGATAACCGGGAAACACCAGCCTCTCCAGAAAACCTCAGATGACCCTGTCTGAGCCTCTGAGCCTCAGTTTCCTCACCTGTACAATAGGGTTGATGGCAACCCCCAACCTGGGAGGTGCTCATCAGGACCAGAGGCCAGCAAAGCCCCCGAGTGCGTGTGCAGAGGGCCCTCGGGACACGCCCAGAGCGGCTCCTCTGCTCTCAGGCTGACCCGCGGGCCACCCTTGTGCTGACAGCTGTTTCCCGAGATTCCCTCCCCACCGTCAGCCCCATCTCCAATGGACGCCAGTCCTCCCCACCCCCATCACGGTCGGGCACCTCCATCGCCGTGTCGGCTGATGGACCCCAGAATGGAGGAGAGATGTCTCACACCCAGCTGGCTGAGCAGCTCTTGTCTCTCTGAGCCGGTTTCCCTTCTTCCCTATTTTTACCCAGGCTGCCAGGAGGCTCCAGGGAGCCATGGTTATAAAGTTCAGCCACTCACAGGCCAACTCCACATGCCCCAGGACAACCAAGGCCTTGGTGGTGCCCTAGTCTCACCTTTGAAATGTGCAGAGTCGGGCCCGCACAGGCGTTAGTTCTGCCACACCAGTCCATAGATGCCCTTCCTCCAGTGACCCGCGCGACCCTCGGCCATCAACGCCAGGCGAGCTCACCAGTCTCCCCCCTGCTGACGGATACGATGCGGATAGCTCCTCCACAGCTCAGAGTGGTCGGGGAGCCTCCCCAAACCAGGGTGCCCTGTAGGACATGCACCGCTGGCCTTCTGCCCCACAGTAAGCCCCCAAAAGACCCTGCAGGTCACACCCAGCCCCAGGACACCCAGACCCACAGGGGAGCCCAGGCTGCAGCACATACATCTCCAAGCTCACGTGAAGGAATCGGGCCAAGTCCATCCCCCAAAGCAGGACAGCAACTCCACAGAATTCCAGTAATCAGGATCACGAGAGGTGGATACACAGGGCCTCCACACCCTGAGCTGCCCAGAGCTGCACCCACAGCCCGGCTCTCTGAAAGTGCTCATGTGTTGGTGGATAGATGGGTGGGTGGAGTGAGCACAGCAAGTGGATGATTAGGTGGGTGGGTGGCTGAGCGGGGAAGTAAGCAGGTGAGAAAATAGATAAACGGTGGCATAGATAATGAAAAGATGGGTGAGAGGATACAGGGGCTGGACGGGGGCGGGGGGGTGCATGGATAGAGACATGGATGGATGGATGATTGATGGATGCATGATGGGTGGATAATGGATGGATGGACAAGTTGATAGATGATGATGATGGATGGTAGGTGGATGGGTAGATGGACTGATGGGTAGATGGACTGGATGGATAAGTAGGTGGACAGATAGATGGAGATATAGATGGATAGATGGACAAATAGGTGGATAGACAAATAAGTGAATGGATAGATAGATATAGATGGATGGATGGATGGACGGATGGATGGGTGGGTGGATGGATGGACAGATGGATGGGTGGGTGGGTGGATGGATGGATGGATGGATGGATGGATGGATGGGTGGATGGATGGGTGGGTGGATGGATGGACGGATGGCTGGCTGGGTGGATGGATGGGTGGATGGATGGATGGACAGATGGCTGGCTGGGTGGATGGGTGGGTGGGTGGATGGATGGATGGATGGACAGATGGCTGGCTGGGTGGATGGTGAGAATGGACAGGTGAGCGGGAAGGCCGGACCTCTCTGACGACCTCACTGACTCTTCAGGAGGCACAGCTGTCCTCCCCGATGTGGAGGACAGACCCTGCTGGGAAGGTTGGCCATCAGCACAGCAGTTAACGGCTGCGAATTATCCATAGTCAATTAGAAAAGGCCATTGTGGCAAACGGGATTTTATTAGCCAATCGGATGAGGTCTGCCAAGGGGCCTGGTAAGAGTCCCCAGAGTCCCCCCTCCCTCCATCCAGGCGCCCCCTCCCTGTGCCCCCCCCCGCCTGCCCCTAGGAAACACAGCTGTGTCTCCCCTAGATGCCCAGCTGCTGTGCTGTGCGCTGGGAGGTATAAGCCCAGCCTGAACTGCATTCGGACTGCCCTGTGTGCTGGGTTTGCCTGTCACCCCAGTGCCAGGCCTCGCTGAGCAATCGAGGTGCTTGGGGAAACATCTGGACCCCAGCACCCGATGAGGAAGAGCAGGAGGACGGACTGGGCCTGGACTCCACCGTCTCCTGGGACATGGAGACCTAATCTCAGCCCATCACCCTGCTCCTCCCATCCCCCCCATGACCTGTGACCTTAAGGCCTCCCAGGGTCAGGGACAAATGCCTACAGAGCCCCTTGGCCCTCAGCAAGCCCAGGAGAGCATCCACTGCCCCTGGTCCCTGTGCCTCGGCCTCCCGGGCCAGCAATCCGGCCACCCCTCCCGGCCCCCGGGGGACCAGCCCCTTGAGGGTCACACTGTTCCCCACAGGCATGTGGGCTTAGTCATTTCTGTTCCTCAAACCTCAGTTTCCCTTTCTGTAGCATGGGCTGACAGAGCTGCCAGGCTGCCAGAACAGGCAGATACACAAATACAGAAAGAAGGTCATCGGGTGACGCCCAGCATGTCACGTCCTTGCCCTGACTCGAGGCTCACAGAGCAGCCTCCTCCCACCAGGCCTCCCACCAGCAGGGAAGGAGGCCGGGGGTCGCCCCAGGGCCTGCCCCAGGGTGCCCGAAAGGCCCCGCCTCACCCCGGGCCCACCAGGGACGAGCAGTTAACTCCACTTGTCACCCGTCTTGGTTAG